ACTGCGACTAGTGTGCCTCCGCCCCTGGTGGGCCTATCATCTCTGTGTATCTTGTGGTTCGGAATTGTGAACCTTTCTCCAGGCTTCAGTAGTGTTTCCTGGATTAGGCACACATCCACGTTGTGTTTCTCCAGGAAGTCTTGGAGTTCTAATTTATTATTTCTGACTTTATTGGCGTTCCAGGAGACGGCACACAGAGATTTAGGCCTCAGCAGTCTAGACATGACTGCTCATTGGTGCAAGCATCTGAGCCTGCATCGTGGCCATGAACGTTTGCATGTGGGTCTGCATCGTCTGTAGGGTATGTGCTAGCGGTTTATGGCCTGGTTCTCTCACTGGTTGGCGTTGAGGAGCTTGCTGGGGAGGCGGCAGGTTCTTCTTGGCTGCTGCACTGTAGTTTCTGGTGGTTACAGTGGCAGCTTGCGGCTGTGGTGTGGTTGCCTCATGGTCTGCAACTTTGGAGTGGGCTTTGATGAGCAGCCTGAGTAGAAGGCTGGGTGAGCTCTTCCACAGTTGGCGCATCTTGCTGCCTTTTCCCGAGAAATCTGTCATTCCCGGGATTCATGCGCTCCTCCACATTTCACACATTTGGCAGCAGCTGTGCATTTGGACTGTCCATGTCCAAAAAGCTGGCACCTATAGCACTGGGTCGTCTGGCTCTTCGCATGCTGCGACTCCACTCTCACTCGCAGGTTTCCGAGTGCCCTCAGAATCACCTTGGACCCGTCCTCACCTTGGACCTACAGAAAATTAAAAACCTGGGAATAAAAAATATTAGAAATAAATTCAGTCACAAATCGTAAAAGACACGTGGTACAGGCAAAGCACTTTTTTGCGTTCGAGCAGTGTAAGTATGCAATTGCACGTGTCGATCGCCTCAAAGCAAGTCAGAGACTCTTCTGTCGGTCCCATAACAACACTCCCTTAAAAAAAAATGTTTGTTCCTATTATCTATAACACAGTTAGCCTTCCAGCCTTCACTCGGACAGATACAACACATCGCCCCATCTAGCGCCGCCCCGCGCCTAGAGAGCATATCAACTTGGCCCTATTTAGTTACCATTCTAAGGGGGGATATTTTATGAAGGAAATAAAGTATGTGCGAACGATAGCCGAGTGATGGGTGTTTCACTCAAATATTCAAGATCAGACCAAAATTTTGATTGCCGTCAACGCCACCTACTGCCGGATACAACGCAACTCGCTCATAAATGAACTGAACATCCCCGAGAGGGCGGCATGACGACGATTACAGCGTGGGTGCTTATTTCAAAAACGCTGATTTTCAGTTTTTGCGAGGCGACTTTCTGATATCAGAGAAAAGCGTTGTTTCTTTCTTACAAAGTTTTTTGCTTTCTGCTATCAATAATTTATTAAAACATGAGTTTAAGACCTTGTTGTGTGCATCAGTGCGATGACAGATGTTCTAGACCGCAAGCTGCTGCATTACTAGAGTTATTTACATATTGATTGCTGGATGACGCCAGCATGGTGCATGGTCTCACATTTTTCGGATTCAAATTATAACACAATAAAACCACAATATTTTCAGGTGTCGACTTCCTAGAAATGAAAATTTGAGAAGCATTTGGATCAGGCGAGCGGATTGTAAGGATTTAGTGGCAAAATTTAAATTTCGCAGGGTATTTATGTGCTCTAGACATTTCCACGATGTGTGTTTCAAGGCAAACGGTAGATTATTACTAAATTGCCTCCCAACAAAATACCTCACAGGTAGGTTTAAATAAGACTAGCCTATGTATTGTTTTAAAGATTACTACATAAATTATTCACCTTACATATTACATATATTTCCAAGTATATTGGAAGGTTTCCAAGGTGCACCTTCCATAGAGAATAGCTTCTATCGAGAGAGTATACCATCTGCTAGGAGATGTGTAACTCCCGAAAAAAATCAAGGTATTTTAGTGTTTAAAATTAAATACATTTGTTTACTTCATGATTGCCTGTTTCATACATACAGATGGTATTCGCATGGTAGAGTCCAACACGATTTTGACGCATACGAGTTCGTTGGAGTCCGTCATTAAGCCAGCCAAGGTATATCCTGGCAAAAGACGCTTGGTGCAACCAATAGCCGAACTGGGCGATATTCCTGGACCATCGCATGAATATGTTCATGTCACATCAAATATATACACAGTTCCGGGTAAGTACTAATTTTAAGAAAGTGATATGTAAATTTAGCAACCTATCAATGTTTAGGCTCCAAAGACACTCTTTCCAGGGAGAGCAGCTCAAATCACTCAGCTCGAATGGCCCCTGAATTGTGTACCCCGAAAAATTTAAATGTAGGTACGTTTGTATTAAAATGAAAGTACTTTAATAATTTGTATTTATGTGCATAGATGATATTCTTCCCGGTGATAGCTCTTTTCGGGATGTCACCAGTACGATTGCTGCAAGTGCCACAGTTTCGAGTAAGTACATATTATCCTACTTGTACGATACAACGTGTAACTTTTATGTATCAAGTTTTTCAMGTCTCATTCCATTTATTATTATATAATTATGTTATCCATACACCTCCCTAAACATGTATCTGTATTGGTAATTGTACTAAATTAATGAAGTTGTTATTTTACTTTGAATTAGGAATTTGTTTAAGTTCTGAATTTCTGATTCATGAGCTTCTAGCTTTGCTGCGAAAGCTAGTGGCGCTCAAACAAACTCACCCTCCGGGCTTTGCACACGACCGCCCGAAATTCCGGCTTAAGGGAAACATTTTTGCCTTATTCTCTTTATTAAACGTCATCATATAAAAAAAAATAAATCATTGCCTCTAAGCGAAAAGCAAATCATTGTAATCCTAAATTCAAGTCATACTTAAATAGTTTTCATTGAAGTTTGATTTTTATTTTTCTCTCTCTGAAATTTGTCGTGTTGCACCGTTCATCACAATATAATAGTAAATTATATAATGAGAGTTGTATTCGTGTAAGCGTAATTCTATTCAACACTTATCAATTGACCTACCTGGAAACTGCCAATAGCATATAACCTTAAGGCTATCAGAAGTTGCAGGTGAGCAGGAAAAGGTAAACCTCTTCTACTTGCACTTTCAATTCTACTTAAAAGGAAAGGTATTAGTGCGTCGATAACGGTTTCTTTCTGAAACCGAGAACTCTGAACAAATTCCTGCTCTCCGTAGAATTGGAAAGGATCTTGCATGCCTGTTATGTACTTTTTAGGGACCCGTTCGTGCATTTCTTTATCAACATATTCCATAAATTCTACTAAATCTTTCGTATTAATAATATATTTAACAAAACGTGTGAATAACAAATAGTAATGCTCAGAATGGTAACGTTACAAAAACACTCAAGGATCCTATACTCCACACAAACAAATCAGTTTTTGTAAAGGGCAGCTACAAACTTTT